AAGGTGCTAATCCCATTCATGAAGGCCCTTCCCTAGTAATCTAATAGCTCCCTAAAGGCCCCATCTCCTAACACCATCATGTTAGGCATTAAGTTTTCAGTGTATGACTTTTGGGGCTACACAAACATTCAGACCACAGTAATGTGCATTTCTAATTTTGTCATTGTAGTTGAAGGTTTTGTTATTAATTTATTGACTGTTTGTATTTTCCATAATCTGTTATCTGAGTTTTAGTATGCTGCTTTGTTGAATTGTAGGAATTCTGTATATTAATCCTTTGTGTCTAGGAAAAATATTTTTCATCTTATTGTTTTCTTTCCTTCCTTGTTTATTCAAGAATTCTTAACTTGAAAGTTTCTCTTAAAATTTAAGAAATTTTTTGCTTCATTAATTTTTTTTGTAAAATACATTTGACATAAAATTTGCCATTTGTGGGGCACCTGGGTGGCTCAGTGGGTTAAAGCCTCTGCCTTCGGCTCAGGTCATGATCCCAGGGTCCTGGGATCGAGCCCCACATCAGGCTCTGCTCAGCAGGGAACCTGCTTTCTCCTCTCTCTCTCTCTGCCTGCCTCTCTGCCTACTTGTGATCTCTCTCTGTTTAAAAAAAAAAAAAAAAATCTTTAAAATTTGCCATTTGTAAGTATATAATTCAGTGACATTAATTATTTTCAAAATGTTGTGCAACCACCACTGCCTAGTTCCAAAATTTTCCATCACTCAGAGAAAATGCATCCATTCAGTAATAACACCCTACTTCCCATGGCCCCCCAACCCCTGGGAACCTCTAATCTACTGTTTATGAATTTAACTATTAGAGATGTTTTATGTAAATCATATAATACTTGTCCTTTCGATCTGGCTTATTTCTCTTAGCATAATTTTTCAGGGTCATCTGTGTGGTACCACAAACCAGAACTTCATTCATTTTTTATGGATGAAGAATGTTCCACTTTGTTTTTATACCACATTTTGTTTATCCATTCATCTCTTGATGAAAACTAGGGTGAAAAAAAGACACTGGGGTGGTTTCTACCTTTTGGCTGTTGTGAACATTGGCATACACCATGTGTACTCTGCTTGAGTCCTGTTTTCACTTCTTTAGGGTATATATGTAGGAGTAGAATTGCTGGATCATATGGTAATTCCATGTTTTTAAACTTACCGAGGAACCACCAAACTGATTTTCACAGTGGCTGCCCTGTGTACAAGCGTTACAATTTCCCCTACATCCTCACCAACATTTGTTATTTTATTTTTTAAAAAAGGTATACCCATTCCAGTAGATGTGAAGATGGTATCTCATTGTGGGTTTGACTTTTTTTTTTTTCCCCCCTCATGACTATGTATGTTGAATATCTTTTCATTTGCTTCTTGGCCGTTTGTATATGTTCTTTGGGGAAGTTTGGTTAATTCAAGCAAGGCCTTTGCCCTCTTTCCTTTTCTTTCTTTTTTCCTTTTTTCTTTTTTGAAGTAGGCTCCGTGCCCAGTGTGGAGTCTAGCATGGGGCTTGACCCTGAGATCAAGACCTGAACTGAGATCAGGAGTCAGACACTTAACCATCTGAGCCACCCAGGTGCTCCAAGATTTAAGTTTTTAGAGCAGTTTTAGGTTCACAGTAACGTTAAGAGAAAAGAATAGGGATTTCCTACATACCCTCTGGCCCCCACACATGCCTAACCTCCCCCATTATGGACATTTCTTACCAGAGGTATATTTGTTATGATTGATGAACCTACATTGTCACATCATAATCACCTAACCCTATTAGGGTTCATCATTGGTGTTGTAAATTCTGTGAATTTGGAAAAATGTATAATGGCACATATCCGTTATTGTAGTATCATACGGAGTATTTTCACTGCCCTACAGTCCTCTGTATTCTACTTTTTCATTCCTCCCTGCCCCTCTCCCCCACCCGTTGCCCTATGCCCACCCACAGCAACCATTAATCCTTTTACTGTCTCTGTAGTTTGGCCTTTTCTAGAATGCTGTTTGGTTGGAATCATACAGTATGTAGTCTTTTCAGCCTGGCTTCTTTCAGTTATAATCATATACAGTTAAGTTTCCTTCGTGTCTTTTCATGGCTTGATAGCTGCTTTCTTTTTCGCACTGAATAATATTCTGTTGTCTGGATATACCACAGTTTATTTATCTGTTCTTGTTTGCTTCCAAGTTTTGGCAGTTATAAATAAAGCAGCTATAAACATTTTTAGTTGGGTGTTTGCATTCTCCTTCTCTTTAAGTTGTAGGAGTCCTTTATATGTTAGAGATATTAAACCCTTATCAGATGATATGATTTGCAAATATTTCTTCCCATTCTGTGGGCTGTCCTTTCACACTTTTGATAGTGTCTTTTTTTTTTTTTCTTAATTCATGTATAGTTGACACACAATATTACATTAGTTGGATAGTGTTCTCTGATGCACGGAGGTTTTTAATTTTAATGAAGTACATTTTGTCTGTTTTTTCTTTTGTTGCCTCTGCTTTCAGTATTATATTTAAGAAACCATTGCCAAACCTAAGTCATACAGATCTTCCCCTTCCCCTGTTTTGTTTTGTTTTTTTTTTCTTAAAGTGAACTCCACACCTCATGTGGGCGTTGGACTCATGACACTGAGAGCAAGAGTCTCGAGTTCTACCCACTGAGCCAGCCAACCCCCGCTCCGTTTTCTTCTAAGGATGTTTATATTTTAGCTCTTAAATTTATGTCTTTGATCCATTTTAAATTAATTTTTATATGTAAAAATTATATATGTAAAGGTCCACATTCCTTATTTTGCATGTGGACATCCAGTTTTCCCAGTACCATTTGTTGAAGAGACTGCTCTTGATCTTGGTGTCTTTGTCAGAAATAAGTTGAGCATATATGTGGGGGTTTATTTCTGGACTCTGAGTTCTATTCTGTTGGTCTGTGTGTCTGTCTGTTTACCAGCCACACTGTTTTGGTTACTGTAGCTTTGTAGTAAGTTTTGAAATCAGAGGTGCGAGTCGTCCAACTTTGGTCTTCTTTTTCTTTTTTACTTTTTTTTTTTTTTTTTTTGGTAAAGATTTTATTTATTTATTTGAGAGAGGGAAAGAGAGGGCACAAGCAGGGGGAGCAGCAGAGGGAGAAGTAGGCTCCTGACTGAGCAGGGAGCCTGACACCAGGCTCGACACAAGGCTAGGATCGTGATCTGAGCCAAAAGCAGATGCTTAACAACTGAGCCATCCAGGTGCCCCATACTGTTTTCTTTTCTTTTCTTTTTTTAAAAGTAAACCCTCTCCCCAACATGGGACTCAAACTCACAACCCCAAGATCAAGAGTTGCATGCTCTACCAACTGAGCTAGTCACGTGCCCCTTTGCTCTTCTTTTACAAGATTGTTTTAGCTGTTCAGAGTTCTTTGAGATCTCATAAGAATTTTAGGATAGGTTTTTCTATTTTGCAAAAATAACACTTGGGATTTTGGTGGAGCTCACATTGAATCTTGAGATCACTTTGGGTGATATTTTCATCCGAATATTAAGTCTTTCAGTCCATGAACCCAGGATGTCTTTTCATATATTTAGGTTTTTAATTTCTTTTAGCAGTGCTTTGTAATTTTCAGTATGTAAATTTTATGTCTCTGTTAATTAGCTCAGACTGCCATAACAAAACACTATAGACTGGATGGCTTAAACGACAGTAATTAATTTTTTCACGCTTCTGGAAGCTAAATGTCCTAGATCAGGGTTTAGCAAGGTCACTTTCTGGTGAGGACTTGTCCTGGCTTGCAAATGGCTACCTACTTTGTGTTCCCAATGAGAGGGAGAGGGAGAGCAAGGAGTTCTTTGATGCTTCTTGTAAATACAGTAGGTTCTCCCCACCCTAACCTTCAGTTCAGTTGCCCATAGTCAACTGTGATCCCAAAGCAGATGATCTTCCTTCTGACATATCTTCAGGTCAGTATAGTAGCCTGACACTACGTTAGCATGCTTACATGATTTACCTTACTTCATCCGATCTGATGCCTACGTGATTCATTTTACATCATCTGATTACATCATCACAAGAAGAGTGAGTACAGTACCGTGAGCTATTTTGAGAGAGACCACATTCGCATAACTTGTATTACGGTATATTGTTAAAATTGTTCTGTTTTTTTTTTTTTTTTTTTTTTTTGTCAGTCTCTTACTGTGCCTCATTTATAAATTAAACTTTATCATAGGTATGTATGCATAGGAAACAACATAGTATATAGAGAATTTGTTACTATCTGTGGTTTCTGATACCCACAGTGGGCCTTAGCAAGATTACTACGTGGATAAAGGGGGACTACTCTACATTAATCCTGTTGGATCAGGGCTCCACCGTATAACCTCATTTAGTCTTAATTATTTGCTTACCCCAAATACAGTCACATTGGGGTTTGGGGCTTCAGTATATGATTTTGGAGGAAACACATTCAGTCTATAACAGCCTCCTTGGTTAAATTTATTTCTAGGTATTTTAGTCTTTTCATTGTTATTTTGAATGGACTTAATTTCCTTTTTTGGATTATTCATTGTGTATAGAAATGGCACTGATTTTTGTGTTGCTTTTATATCTTGCAGTTTTTCTGAGCTCATTTATTCTGCGTGTTAGGGTTTTCTACATATGAGATCAGGTCCTCTCTGAGTAGGTAGTTTTATATTTTCCATACCAGTTTGGATATCTTTTACTAGTTTTTCTTGCCTACTTGTCCTGGCTAGAAGCACCAGCACTTTGTTGAATGAAGTGGCAAAAGGAAGCATCCATGTCTTATTCCTGATTTCAGGGGGAAAATGTTCAGACTTTCACCATTGAGTATGATGTTTGCTGTAGTTTTTTTATATATAGCTTTTGTGGTGTTCTCTACCTAGTTTATAAAGTGTTTTTTCCCTGAAAGTGTGTTAAGTTTTTGTCAAGTGCTTTTTCTGCATCACTTGAGATGACTGTGTTTTTTTCCTTTATTCTATTAATGTGGTGTATTACATTGACTGATTTTTTTTTTTTTTTTTTTTTTGTATTTAGGCATCCTTGCATTCCTGGAATGAATCCTACTTGGGGATGGTGTATAATCGTTATATGCTTCCGAATTCATTTTGCTAGTGTTTTGTTGAAGATTTTGGCTCAAAACTCGTAAGGGATTTTGTAATTTTCTTGTAGTGTCTTTGGCTTCAGTGTTAGGGTGATGCAGGCCTTATATAATGAGTTATGAAGAGTTCCCTCTTTGGAAGAGTTCTGGAAGGATAGGTGTTAATTCTGTACACATTTGGTGTAGGTTGTCAGTAAAACCGTCTGATTTAGGACTCATCTCGTTGGGAGGTTTTTGATTGCTGATTCAGTCTCCTTAGTCATTACAGGTTTATTTCCATTTTCTTTTCGTGATTCAGTTTTAGTAGATTTAATGTTCCTGAGGGTTTGTCCACCTCATCTAAGCTCTCGAGTTTGTTGTTGTACACAGCTGTTCATGGTACTCTCTTACAGTGTTGTTTATTTCTGTAAAATTGGGAGTAATGCTTCCACTTTCATTTCTCGTTTGAGTAATGTGAGTCTCCTTTCTTTTCCTTAGTCAGCCTAGGCCAAGGTTTATCAGTTTCGTTGATCTTTTCAAAGAACCAGCTTTTGGTTTCATTGCTTTATCTCTTGTTTTTCTATACTCTGTTTCATTTATCTCCTCTGTAATTGTTATTTACTTTCTGCTAGCTTTGGGTTTCATTTACTTTTCCTTTCTTCATTCCTTAAGGTGTCCAGTTAGGTTATTGATTCAAGATCTTCCTTTATTGTTACTATTAGTGTTCACAGTTGTACATTTCCCTCTGAGCACAACTTCCACTGCATCCCTGAAGTTTCTGGTCTGTTGTGTTTAAATTTTCATTCATCTCAAGGTATTTTCTAATTTCCCTTGTGATTTTTTTTTTTCTTGACCCATTGTTTGTTTTGTTTTGTTTTTTAAAGATTTTATTTATTTAACAGAGAGAGGTCACAAGTAGGCAGAGAAGCAGGCAGAGAGGGGGGAAGCAGGCTCCCTGCTGAGCAGAGAGCCCAACATGGGGCTTGATCCCAGGACCCTGAGATCACGACCCGAGCCGAAGGCAGAGGCTTTAACCCACTGAGCCACCCAGGCACCCCTTGTTTGTTTTTTAAAAATATGTTTAATTTCCACATATTTGTGAGCTTTCCAGTTTTCCTTTTGTAATTGACTTCTGGTTGCATTCCACAACGGCCAAAAAATATACTTTGTGTGACTTAATGTGGTTTATTGTGGAGAATGTTTCACAGGCACTTGAAAAGAATGTGTATTCTGCTGTTGTTAGAGTGTTCTGTATATGTTCGGTCTAATTGGTTGTTCAAGTACTCCCATTTCCTTGTTGGTCTTCTCTCTTGTTCTCTTATTGAAAATGGGGTATTAGGGGCGCCTGGGTGGCTCAGTTGGTTAAGCCACTGCTTATGGCTCTGGTCATCATCCCAGAGTCCTGGGATCGAGTCCTGCCTTGGGCTCCCAGCTTGGCGGGGAGTCTGCTTCTCCCTCTGACCTTCTCCCCTCTCAGGTTCTCTCTCTCTCTCAAATAAATAAATGAAATCTTTAAAAAAAAAGAAGGAAAGAAAGAAAATGGGGTATTAAAATCCCGAAAGATGTTTTTAGAACTTATATTTCTTATATTTCTCCCTTCATTTCGTCAATTTTTGCTTCATGTATTTTGGTTCATATGTTTGTTGTATATAGGTTTATAATTGTATCTTCTTGATGGATTGAACCTTTGTCAATACATAATATCCTTTGTTGTATTCTTTTTTACTTAAAATCTATCTAGTTTGATATTAATATAGTCACCGTAGCTCTCTTTTGGTTAGTAATTGCACGGAATATCTTTTTCCATCTTTTAGTTGTTGTTTTTTTTTTTTAAGATTTTATTTATTTGACAGAGAGATCACAGGTAGGAAGAGAGGCAGGCAGAGACAGAGGGGGAAGCAGGCTTCCCGCTGAGTAGAGAGCCTGATGCAGGGCTTGATCCCAGGACCCTGGGATCATGACCTGAGCTGAAGGCAGAGGCTTAACCTAACTCTCTTCCCCGAGGGGGCCCTGTTACTTCTGACTTCTTTATGTCTTTGTAAAGCGAGTCTCTTGCAATCATCATATAGATGGATGGCATTTTCTTATCCATTCTGGTAATCTTTGTCCTTTTTTAAAAGATTTTATTTATTTATTTGCCAGAGAGAGCGTGCGCGCACAGGGTTAGGGTTAGGATTAGCACAGGCGAGCACAAGCAGGGGGAGTGGCAGACTGAAGGAGAAGCAGGCTCCACGCTGAGTGGATCAGGACCTGAGCCAAAGGCAGCCACTGCTCAACTGCCAGTTGTCCCATCTCTGTCTTTTTTAAGTGGAGAGATTATCCATTTACATTTCAAGTAATTACTGATAAAGTGTTTGCTTCTGTTATTTATCTGTTTTCTGGGTGTCTTAAATGCTTTTTGTTTCTAAATTCCTGTATTATTGCCATATATGTTGATTTTTTTGGTAGCATACCATTTTGATTCCCTTCTTTCCTTTTATGTATACTTACTAGTTATTTTCTTAGAGGTTAACTTGGGGATTACAATTAACATCTTAATCTGTTAGCAATTTAGCTTGAATAATACTAGCTTAATTTTAATAGTTTTTAAACACTCTTCTCCTATACATCTCTATTACCTCCCATTTTTATTTCTTTTATATATTTTTTATTTTTTTAAAGATTTTATTTACTTATATGTTAGAGAGTACAAGCAGAGGGAGTGGCAGGCAGAGGGAGAAGCAGGCTCTATACTGAGCAGGGAGCCTGATTTGGGACTCCATCCGAGGACCCTGGGAGTGTGACCTGAGCCGAAGGCAGACACTTCACTGACTGAGCCACCCATGAGTCCCTACCTCCCACTTTTATATGGTTACTGTTTTTTTTTGTTTTGTTTTAAGAGTTTATTTATTGACAGAGAGAGATCGTAAGTAGGCAGAGAGGCAGGCAGAGAGAGAGAGGGAAGCAGGCTCCCCGCTGAGCAGAGAGCCCAGTGCGGGGCTCCATCCCAGAACCCTGAGATCATGACCTGAGCCCAAGGCAGAGGCTTAACCCACTGAGCCACCCAGGTGCCCCTATATGGTTACTTGTTGCGAAGAGCAGTTAAAACCCAAAGTACAATAATCTATATTACTAGCTTTTATATTTTTCTGTGTAGTTAAATTTATTATTCTTTATTTCTTCATATGGCTTTAAGTTACTGTCCTTTCATTTAGCCTGTTGGACTCTTGTATTTCTTTTAGGGAAAGTGAAGATTCTCCCAGCTTTTTATTTGTTTGTTTGTCTGTTTAAGATTTATTTATTTAGGGGCGCCTGGGTGGCTCAGTGGGTTAAAGCCTCTGCCTTCGGCTCAGGTCATGATCCCAGCGTCCTGGGATCGAGCCCTGCATCAGGCTCTCTGCTTAGTGGGGAGCCTGCTTCCACCTCTCTCTCTGCCTGCCTCTCAGCCTACTTGTGATCTCTGTCTGTCAAATAAATAAATAAAATTCTTTTAAAAAAAATTATTTATTTATTTGACAGATAGCGAGAGGTAGGCTTCCTGCTGAGCAGGGAACTGGATGTGGGGCTTGATCCCAGGACCCTTGGGATCATCACCTGAGCTGAAGGCAGATGCTTAATGACTGAGCCATCCAGGCGCCACCACCCCCCAGCTTTTTTTAAAATCTGGGAATATTTTAATTTCTCACTCATTTTTGGAGGATAGTTTTTGCTGATGTCTTTACCTCTTAACCCCTTGAATATGTCATCCCACTGCTTTCTGGCCTCCATGGTTTCTATTGAGAAATCATTCGTCTTACTGAGGATCCAAGAAATCACTTCTCTTTTACAGCTTTCAATATTATCTCTTTGTCTAGGGCACTTGGGTGGCTCATTTGGTTAAGCATCTAACTCTTGGTATTAGCTCTAGGTCTTGCTCTCAGTGCTATGAGTTCACGCCCAACATTGGGCTCCACACTGGGCTTGGAGCCTACTTTAGAAAAAGATTATTGGGGTGGCTGGGTGGCTCAGTCATTAAGTGTTTGCCTTTAGCTCAGGTCATGATCCCAGGGTCCTGGGATTGAGCCCCACATCAGGCTCTCTGCTTAGCAGGGAGCCTCCTCCCTCTCCCTCTCCCTGTGCCTGTAGCTACCCCTGCTTGTGCTTGCTCTCTTTATCTGTCAAATAAATAAATTAAAATCTGTAAAAAAAAAAAAAAAAGAGCATCTCTTTGTCTTCGGTGGTTTGGACTGTGTGTTTTGGTATAGATCTCTTTGAGTTGATTTTGCTTGGAGTTCATTAAGCTGCTTGTGTTGTAGTTTATTTTTCATAGAATTTGGAAAGTTTTTGCACATTATTTTTCAAAAAAAATTTTTTTTTTGCCTGTTTTCTCTTGCTTAGCCTTCTGGGGGTCCCATAATGTGTATTTTGGTCTTCTTGATGGTGTTCCATATTTCCCTAGGCTCTGTTCACTTTTCTTCATTTCTTTTTCTTTCTGGTCCTCAGACTGGATAATTGTCCTAACTTCAGGCAGTTCTTTATGATTCTTCCACTTGCCAAAATCTACTGTCACACTCCTCTGCTGTGGCTTTCGTTTCAGTTACTATGTTTTTCAGCTCCAAAATTTCTGTTTGTTTCCTTTTTAATTTCTGTCTATTGGTGTTCTCATTTTGTTCAGAAATCATTTTCCTGGTTTCATTTAGTTCTTAGTCCATGATTTCCTTTATCTCTTTGATCATGTTTAAGACTGTTGATTTTAGGGGTGCCTGCCTGGCTCAGTCAGAAGAGCATGTGACTCCTGATCTTGGAGTTGTGAGTTCAAGCCCTACATTGGGTGTAGAGATTACTTAAATAAATGAATAAATAAAAACTTAAAAAAAAAAAAGACTGTTGATTTTAATTCTTTGTGTAGTAAGTCCAGTGTTTAGACTTCTTTAGGGATGGTTTCTGTCAGTTGGTTTTATTCCTTTAGATGGGTCACACTTTTTCTCTTTCTTTCTTTCTTTTTTTTTTTAAGATTTTATTTATTTATTTGACAGAGAGATCACAAGTAGGCAGAGAGTCAGGCAGAGAGAGAGGGGGAAGCAGGCTCTCTGCTTAGCAGGGATGCTGAGGCAGATGCGGGGCTCGATCTCAGGACCCTGAGATAATGACCTGAGCCCAAAGCAGCGGCTTTATCCACTGAGCATCCCAGGTGTCCCTCTTGTGTGTGTGTGTGTTGTTTTTTTTTTTAAGATTTTATTTTTGGGGCATCTGGGTGGCTCAGTTGGTTAAATATCTGAGTCTTTTTTTTTTTTTTCTTTTTAAAGATTTTATTTATTTGACCGAGAGAAAGCACAAGTGGGGGGAACAGCAGGGAGAGGGAGAAACAACGTCCTCGCTGAGCAAAGGGCCTGATGCCCCACTTGATCCCAGAACCCTGGGATCATGACCTGAGCTGAAGGCAGACACTTAACCAACCCAGTGAGCCACAAGGGTGCCCCAAGCATCTGACTCTTGATCTCAGGGTCATGAGTTCAAGCTCTGGGTTCGGCTCCATGCTGGGCATAGAGCCTCCTTTAAATTGGGGTGGGGGGGAGGATTTTAGTTTGTTATTCATTTATTTTTAAAGATTTATTTGAGAGAGTGTGTGTCAGCATGAGTGGAGGGAGGGGCAGACCGAGTGGGGAAGCAGACTCCTTGCTGATAACCCTGAGATCATGACCTGAGCTGAAACCAAGTCGGCTATTCAGCCAACTGAGGCACCCAGGTGCCCTGAGATTTTATTTTTAAGTAATCTTTATACCCAGGGTTGGACTTGAATTTTTAACCCCAGGATCACATACTCTATGGACCTAGCCAGCCAGGCACCTCTCCTTT